TTTTTATCTTATCTTTTTTCTCTCTATTATTTTATATATGCTAAAACTATTATTAACATTATATTCATACCAATGTTATCGTTTAAATTGTACACACAAATTCTATTTATCGTTTTAATCTAATTGTCGAACTATAATAGTTTTATTGCTGATGGTTCTAAAAAAAAAAAATAAAAAAAAAAAAAATTATTTAGTTGTGTCATATAATTATTTTAATAGGTTTTTATATAATATTGTGTTGTAAATGGTACGATATGTGTATTAAAATAATTAATGTATTTGATAAATTTCCAGTGTTGAATAAAAAAATATTGAATTTTTTTACTAAGTTGTTTGATCAGAAAGTATTACATTGTATAAAGGTTTTCACCATAGAATATTTAAATTGTAGGTAATTAAATAATGTCTCGACGCTTAAATGCTCTATTATAAGTATAGACAACCTTGAATAGGTACAGATTAATGATTTTAGAATCCTTGGGATGTTTTGTTTTCCAAATTAAATTGTTAATTTGAATTAATACATAATTATTGATATAGTCTATAGGTACCTATACTGAATCACAAATTATAATAGTTATAAACTATTATTTATGAAACGTTATAGGAAAATGTATACTATATATGCTTAATGTAAATTTTTAGGCCTAAATGATCGTCAGGCTATAAACTATTTGGGAATAGGACGTTAGCGCCATCACTTAGATTAATAATAACATTCTTTTATAGGCGCATAACTGTATTTTCATAAAAAAATTAAACGCGATCAACTATGTTTGACTATAGGTATTTGTTATAATAATGTTAAATAATACAAATAACTCATTTAAAAATCGTATATAGATTGACTTTATTCGTTAATTGGTCATTTGAAATACAAAAGAGTAGTAACCTTTTTGAATTTTAAACTTTGAAATGTTTGAAATAAAAACATTTTGAAGCGTGTGATATACTCATATTATATTATTGGTGCATCATACTTGTTAGTGCTGTTAAATTGTTAAGAAACACTATGCGCAAACGACAAACCAAATTTTACCTGGAGAAATAATGATGCAAAAATGACGGGCATAAAAATATTTGACGACTAATAAAA